ATACTATGTAAATTAAGGCAGTAAATCATTCCAAAATTCCATAGTCACCCATTTCAATTTAGTCTATTGATTTCGGGGGAAGGAGTGATCCTGTAGGGCTGGCTTTGCAGGGGTTCAAAAGATGGAGGCGTGGACAGCAGTATATGTCCATCCTGCTCGCTTCACTGCTGGTTTTCCGAAAACGGGCAATGGCACCCGTGTTTGAACTGTGCAGGGAAGCGTGGAATTCATATTTGAAGGCGTGGACAGTGCTTGCCCATCCTGCTCGCATTGCTGCTGGCTTTTCCACAGTGGGCAGTGACCAACAACAAGTGATATTTCGCTGCAAACTTAGAATGCCACCTTTGTCATTCATGTATGCCTGTTAGAGTTTTGCAAGAAAAGTATACAACAGCACAGGTAAACTTCAACGATTCTCGGCGAAAATATGTACATAGATATATAAATATATAGGTTTTTGCGAAAATAGGTACAACTTAGAATGCATGTAAAAGCATTAGGTTTCCTCAGCAAGCGCAGGAAAGAGGCAGGGCCTGAAAGTGTCGTAGAGCCATCAGTGCTCGATGTCCGGCCGTCCCATGGTATCTCTTTTCTGTTTTTTTAAATAAATAAATAAATATATATATATATATGTTGATACTATGTAAATTAAGGCAGTAAATCATTCCAAAATTCCATAGTCACCCATTTCAATTTAGTCTATTGATTTCGGGGGAAGGAGTGATCCTGTAGGGCTGGCTTTGCAGGGGTTCAAAAGATGGAGGCGTGGACAGCAGTATATGTCCATCCTGCTCGCTTCACTGCTGGTTTTCCGAAGGCGTGGACAGTGCTTGCCCATCCTGCTCGCATTGCTGCTGGCTTTTCCACAGTGGGCAGTGACCAACAACAAGTGATATTTCGGTGCAAACTTAGAATGCCACCTTTGTCATTCATGTATGCCTGTTAGAGTTTTGCAAGACAAGTATACAACAGCACAGGTAAACTTCAACAATTCTCGGCGAAAATATGTACATAGATATATAAATATATAGGTTTTTGCGAAAAGAGGTACAACTTAGAATGCATGTGCAAACATTAGGTTTCCTCAGCAAGCGCAGGAAAGAGGCAGCGCCTGAAAGTGTCGTAGAGCCATCAGTGCTCGATGTCCGGCCGTCCCACGGTATCTCTTTTCTGTTTTTTTAAATAAATAAATATATATATATATATGTTGATACTATGTAAATTAAGGCAGTAAATCATTCCAAAATTCCATAGTCACCCATTTCAATTTAGTCTATTGATTTCGGGGGAAGGAGTGATCCTGTAGGGCTGGCTTTGCAGGGGTTCAAAAGATGGAGGCGTGGACAGCAGTATATGTCCATCCTGCTCGCTTCACTGCTGGTTTTCCGATAACGGGCAATGGCACCCGTGTTTGAACTGTGCAGGGAAGCGTGGAATTCATATTTGAAGGCGTGGACAGTGCTTGCCCATCCTGCTCGTCGCATTGCTGCTGGCTTTTCCACAGTGGGCAGTGACCAACAACAAGTGATATTTCGCTGCAAACTTAGAATGCCACCTTTTTCATTCATGTATGCCTGTTAGAGTTTTGCAAGAAAAGTATACAACAGCACAGGTAAACTTCAACGATTCTCGGCGAAAATATGTACATATATATATATATAGGTTTTTGCGAAAATAGGTACAACTTAGAATGCATGTAAAAGCATTAGGTTTCCTCAGCAAGCGCAGGAAAGAGGCAGGGCCTGAAAGTGTCGTAGAGCTGGGATTGCGTGGGGAAGAGTAAAAAAGGGCCAAACTTTTTGGCATGAGAGTGCGATTGCGCTGTGCTTTCAAAGCCTTTTGAATATATCTGTACGATTTACTTCGACGTCACGACGTCACCCCCGAATGAACGAGGCGGAATTTTGAAATTAAGGGGATATGTATGTAAGTATCCAACCCTCTGCCTGTACCCGATCTGCATGAGGGGGTTTGAACTAGGAACTTGGAATGCTTTGGGATATATTTCTGGTCAGTCTATAAACTGTTTGTGACATGTTTTGGCCTCAAATATTGGGAAATATTGGGAAATATTGTGGTGTTCCTAGCGACGGACTGGAACTTAGAATGTCACATGTGGCGGCATTCTAAGATACCCCATTTGGATGGCATTCTAAGTTCAAACCACTAAATTTTGGAAAACTAGGCTGACATTCTAAGTTCCAGTCCGTCGCTATATATGTATGTATATGTATGTATATGTATGTATATGTATGTATATGTATGTATATGTATGTATATGTATGTATATGTATGTATATGTATGTATATGTATGTAATGTATGTAATGTATGTAATGTATGTAATGTATGTAATGTATGTAATGTATGTAATGTATGTAATGTATGTAATGTCATGTAATGTATGTAATGTCATGTAATGTATGTAATGTATGTAATGTATGTAATGTATGTAATGTATGTAATGTATGTAATGTATGTAATGTATGTAATGTATGTAATGTAGGTAATGTAGGTAATGTAGGTAATGTAGGTAATGTATGTAATGTATGTAATGTATGTAATGTATGTAATGTATGTAATGTATGTAATGTATGTAATGTATGTAATGTATGTATGGATGTAATGTATGTAATGTATGTAATGTATGTAATGTATGTAATGTATGTAATGTATGTAATGTATGTAATGTATGTAATGTATGTAATGTATGTAAGGTATGTAATGTATGTAATGTATGTAATGTATGTAATGTATGTAATGTATGTAATGTATGTAATGTATGTAATGTATGTAATGTATGTAATGTATGTAATGTATGTAATGTATGTAATGTATGTAATGTATGTAATGTATGTAAATGTATGTA